TTTTTATCATACTTGTCCAAACACATGTGAGATGAAAGGGGGGCGTGTCGTGTTCTAGGAACCCTCAGTGTTACACGAAACCGTCAAATTAGAATCCCATTAGGGAGCATAGAACAAGTGCTTTTCGCGCCGCGTCTGTCCATATGTCACTCGGAGATTTACGACTCCGATGGGTCCTAGTTCAAAGTGCGAGCTTTTAGATAGAAAAGTGCTAAAAGCTCAGCTAGAATATCACAATCATTGATAACCATTAACAAAAACGCTACTTAGACAAAAAATAATAAAAATATGAAATAATTTCAAATATACTTTGATTATGTAATTATCTCGAAAGACCATTTGTTATACAAATTTCCAACGTTCTATATTTAAACCTTAATTGCACCATCTTTTGCAAAGACGTTTCCCAATTAAAATAAAATTGTCTAAGGCAGTAGGTCAAATATCGTAAAAAATCATGGAGATACTAACAATACTATCTTTTATATATATATATAATATATATATATATATATATAAAAATATATCGGATTTTCCTTCCTGACGAAATAACTCCAGAACGCCGAACCGATTTCGACAATTTTGCATTCGTTAGAAAGGTTTCGGGCTCCGCAAGGTTTATAGCTAAGAAAATTAGTTGTGCATGGCATCGTGCCTCAATGCAAGCTGCTGGAACTTCACGCACCGTAATTAAAAATTCGAGTAATGACATTAGTGAGAATTATCAAAATTATGCTTGGTTAAGTCAACGAGCAATTCTTGCCGCAAAGAATGATGATGTACACGCACTAAATTTCACCATTCAATCAAAAATTGCTGCGATTTGGTGATATCCAATGATTCCGACTGGTCTTCCGTTTGACTTCAACGATTGCAATTTCCAGTTCGCCTTGCGGTTCGCAATAACAAATCGCAAGGCTATTCGCTTAGTGTTTGCGGGATAAATTTCAAATAGTTTATTTAGAAAATCATTGTTTTTCACATGGGCAGTTATACGTTGCCTGTTCACGAGTTGGAAAACCAATCGCTTTGTTTGTGTTAACGTCAGACCAAAAAACAAAAAATGTGGTTTACTAAAGAACTTCAATGAAACGGATAATTTGCGGATTCACTTTCATTTACTTAGAGAAGTTCAACTAAAAACACTTCATTGTAATCGAAATAAATTCATTACTGTTGTATAATAAAATCAAATTTTTCCTTTCCAAATAGAAAACAAACAAAAAATTTCTTCATCTTTCTCACGAAACCATCTGGTGCCGAAACGGAGTTCGTCGGGTTTGCTAGTACTATATACAAATTATTATGGACATATTCAATTAGAGAGTTGTTCTTTTGTATATTTAATTTTGTAATCTTAGCAAGTTAGCAGCATTGCGTTCAAAATGCATATACTGATCGTACATTAAATTATTAGAACATCTTTAGTCCTGTGTCAAAAATTTCAAATAATAACTTCAATCCTATCAAAACAACTCCTCTCCCAACCACCTAGTATATAACTTTCCTTTATCTCCGTCCTTCATAAACCAGACAGTCAATTGATTTCAAATGACAGATTTTATCAGAAATTTCCTGGTTTCCCCTTTGTACCGGAACAATGGTACAAGTGGAATGTAATGAGTGCTTGCAAGTACAAAGGACCCCAAGCGACATATGCGCATCGGCTGTGTTTAAGGTTTAAGGTTTTAGGTTTTAGGTTTTAGATTTTAGGTTTAGGGCACACTAAAGAGACCGGCCAGGGTGCTGACATATGGGGATTACGGGAATTAGACGGTGGCCCAGGGTGAGACCAATCATTTGACACTAATATTCATTGTTGAGGGCGTACTGGAGTTAACACGTACATGGATATATACATAATACATATATACATGCATATATATATAGTATAAACACATAATTAATTATTAATTTATAATGAGAATTTTCTTGCTTTAGTATCTTGTTATTTCTAATATTAATATAAGTCATCACCTACATAGCAATTTTTAACTTCCCGTAGGGCAAGTTATAGTAATCGCAAAAAAATCGAAAATAATTTTTTATATATCTTTACGTTTCAGAGGTTTCTGAATATTTTGGCATACTTCAGAAAAATGGATGTGCTTGTGTGTGTATGTGTGTGTGTGTGTGCGTGTATGTATGTGTGTGCGGATACAAATTTTCAGACAGAATTTCACTTACAGCTAGTTCCATATATGTTTCCAATGCGTACTTCGAAAGGAATAAGAAGATTCAATTTTATTATTTTTTATTTACTCCCTTAGTTTTTATAAAACCATTTCGTTATTTCTGAATTGATTATTTCCATTTTATTAATTTAAATTATTCTAGATTGCATTATATTATATTATATTTATATTATTCTTTATACAGGGTGTCCCAGAACTCAACGTCAAGCCGAAAGAGGGAGTTCTGAAGCCGAAAAAAATTATTTAATTAGAAACATAATTATTTAAGTAGAAAATTATGAGCTTTTAAGTGCAGCCCAAAGCTTTGGTTAAACTGTAACTATTTTTCAGTTATTTTCGTTATTTTTCATTATTTTTTTCATGAATGGTAACCGTGAATAATATTTTAGGATTAAAAATATTGTCATATTTGACCCATGTTTTAAATAATTGAGACTTCTTGTCAAACTGTTAATGTAAAATGTTGAAAATTGTTTGACTTTGAGAGAGCCTTTTTCACAAAAAGCTCATAATTTGCAAGTTACGTGAGATAATTTTTGATTAACTTTTTTATGATAGTTATACGATCAATACTATTACCCAGTTTCTGGTTCTGGGACACCATGTATAAACGATTATCATAATATCATAATGCAAATTATGCAGTCTGTAGACCTGGTTTATGAGACATGACATCCTATTCTAAAAAAGTACAGCTAAATTTAATTTTCAATTATATATATACATAAATTAATTATTAAGTTAACTCAAAGTTTTCCTCCACCACACCTCCAGGGGCGGTTGTGACACGCATAAAAATAGGTTAAAAACAATAGGTATAACCCAAAACGGTTTGTGACGACTTTTATTGTCGTAATTTTTTAATGAAAATTGTAATAAATTTCAAATTAAAATGATTTGTTCAGTTTTATTGATTTTATCTATTTTATAACTGAAAATTATTGATTTAATTTAAGGAATTTTAAGGTTTAAAATATACAAAGAAACTATATATATTAAACACAATTAAAAATTGACTTGTAATCTAGGTAAAGGCAATATAAAAAAATTGGATTTTTTATTAAAATAACAGGACGAATAAGATAAAAATACTTGACCTTTCAAAAAATAAGGTAAATCACGGATCAGGTCAATCTACAAAAAACGCACCCCAAATTTTTATTCTCAGAGAATTTATGGTTTTAAAAGATTCAAACATGGAGAGTAAACGTAGAGCAAATGAACTTACTCAAAAATTCTAAAAC